CCCCAAAACCCCAAAACCCCAAAACCCCTTTTTCCCAGTAGGATACTGACATGTTCTGGATTAGATAAATATTAAAATATGAAAAAGAAGCTTCAAAAAAATGAGCTGAAAAGGTAAGGATCATGATCGCTGTAGCACCTCTTATGGTTTTGATGAAATCTCAGAGAGTCTTTTTCCCTGTTGTAGCTTTGTCTCAGTTCTTGCTAATGTAGAATAATAGGTTTGAAAATCTTAAGAATATCAATAATAATCAAGCACTGAGAAAATCTGAGATTAGGAGCACCTCTTATCTCCAAAAGAGGGATAGATCTACTAAGCTTCTAAGCAAGAAGGCAAAGCCTGAAAAATTGGGAGAAACATCTAAGAACTTCTTCTTAAACCAAGGACAGAGGACGATGTTATCGAAAGGAACTTTCGATGGGCATCAAACAAGCTTTAAGTCCTTCAAAAATAATAATTTCTTGGACTCTATTTTCCCTAAGAATGGGATTAACTCAGCTCAGAACTTTTCTATTGGGAAGAAGAGCAAGTAAGGCGACTGGAAGTATGTGTAATCCTAGTCAAAATAGCTTTGCTGTGAAGCAGCCCAAGCTGGGTAAGATTCATTCTCACAGAGAATTGTTGCCAAAGTCTATGATGAATACCAACATCCTGGAGAGAAAAGTAATCAACTATGTTAAGTAAGGCATGCTTAATGGTAATGTAGGAAGAATCAGAGGGAATATAAGAATTTTAATATCGATTTACAGCTGAACAGGTACCTGAAAATGAAGTAAGTCATCGTTCAGACCCACCAAACTTTTTCTAAAAGTTCAGATCATTTCATATGGGCCTGATAACAATTTTCTTTTTCATATCAATTGGTTGTAGGTATGAAAGCAAGAATATGAAGACAAATCCTTTATCAAGGAAGGACTTCGTTAGGCATTTGCAGGAATCTATCGCCCAGAAGAAGCAAGAAATGGAGGAAAGTGCCAGTCAGACTTATAAGGATGCTAAATCTAATGATCTGAGCGAGGAAGGTGAGTCAAGTCAAAGTTGAGAAGAGAAATCCAAAAGCAATAAACTCATTACTTCAGAGAAGGAGGATGATGGTTCCCAGTATCACACTTTTGAGAGTAAGCTTATATCCTGACAAGAACAGCTGGGAGTAAAATTCCTATCAGCAAAAGCTCAAAATTTAACAGAAAACAGCACGTAATCCAGAAAAATGTCTTTGATGAATTAGACAAGGACCCTCTTTCTGATTTTAACTCGACAATAATATCCGATGAAAGAAATTTTGAAACGTATCAGGAGCATCCTCAGCAGGAAGAACCATTGAGGCTTCTTGAAGAGGAAAGGCAGGCTTCCTTGGTAAACATGTTTCAAAAACCGGAAGGGAAGAAGACATTCAACTTCCCTCGACCACATACTCCATATGTTAGGGACGAGAATGGCAAGAAGCACCTCTTGAGTCTTTACGCACGAGATCAGAGCAGGAGAGAGTTGATTGACTTCCTGATGAAAAGGAAGAAGCCCCAGGATATATACCATGATGCTTCACCGAGGAACTTAAGGTCTCAGGTGCATCTCAATTATGAGCAAGTGAGGAAGGACCCAAACCTCAAAGTTGATATGAGCGAGCTGAATCTGTTGAAGATCAGGGAAACCACTTATCACCGATATGAGCAGGAATACAAGGATTATTTGAAGAAAGAGTACCAAGCTATTAGGAAAAAGTCGATGTTGTCCAGAAACCCCTTGGTCATATTCTCAAGTAAAGCTAGGTCTCATTTTATGTAGGAGCATTATCTCAGCCAAGGGCTCAGGACAGCAAGTTTATAAATGTGATACACCGGGCAAGGAAGGGGTAAGTGCCTTTGTTGGGGCTTAGCCTAAGCCAATACAACACTTGAAGCTTACTGGACTCGAAGAATTTTTCAAGTTTTAGTTGACCTAAAGGGGTTTTGGGGTTTTGGGGTTTTGGGGG